GTGATCTAGGAAGTTTCACCAGGTGGATTGAATGGCTACTTTTCTTGCCATCTTCTTTCTCTTTTTTAATTATATGAAAATGGAATTTAATTCTAAGGGTTGCTGCAAGAGCAGGTGATATTAAACACATAGCAGTAGGCTTTTAAAATATGCAGAGTGTAACTTCTCAAAGATAACAGTCATGGCTGGCCAATCCATAGTTAAAGATATCAGCATTGATGCAAATATTTCAGATGACTAAAAGGAGCAAGGAATCTGTCACTCCCAGATGTTTGCCATAGCCCAGCAAACAGACTGTTGAAATTAATTAGGGGTGCTTGAATTCCACTGGATAAAATCACCTAAAGTCAAGCTAATTTATTTTACAAATCAAGGAACAACAACCATTAGATTCATAAGTCATGACAATAGTTAGAGTAAATAGCAAACTGTTGGCTGAACTTTCACACAGAGATGTATAATCAACTCTAATCCATAAAGGAAAGGTTCCACACGCAGTTGCCAAAAATGTTGGATGTGAAACTATTCCAAAATGTGCTATCTTAGTGAAATGTTTGTCATGACAGAAGACAACATTACTAAATACACAAGGGACGATTGTATTATCTGCATTTAATTAATCTGATATTTGAAATCCGGGCACTTAGCAACTAGCATATATTTATGATATTTCAATGTCCCAGGGTCATGGGATCACCATTCGTAACTTTTCCAGCTGGTAAAAACTTTCCAACAAGTAAAGTCAATGGGGGAGGCCAGATTCACTTAATAACCTCAGGATTCACTTAACAACTGCAGTGATTCGCTTAACAATTGTGGGAAAAGGTTATAACATGAGACACAACTCATTTAACAACAACTTTGCTTAGCACAGAAATTTGGGGCTCAACTGTGTTCGTATATTGAGGACTATCTGTATGATGTACAGTGTGTGAGTTTGTCTGAGACAGAGCAAGCAATGGCTTCATGCTACGGGTAGGTTATCATTACGGGGAGTTTCCTAAACTGAAGGCGTCTGCATTGGGCATGCGAGGGCATTGTCTTGGACAAGATGGAGTCTCCCAAGGGCAGCCAGTGAGATAAGGAAGCTAGTTGGCCATTAATGGGTGAGACCAGAGGATGGACCCATTGTCCATGGCGGAAGTGGGAACCACCTTTGCACTTCAGCTCCAAGAATCGGCTCTGACAGTGAAGTTCCTCAACTCCTGGAATCAGTTCAACAAGGTTACTGAAGGGACAACCTTTATGAAAGGGAAAAGATTAATTACAAGAGCAGGAATGGAGCAGCCCCTCCTGGAGCCTAAAAAACCCTGAGAAAAGTTTAGAAGGTAGTTCCTGAAGTGGCTGTAGTTAGAAGAACAAGCACTTAAGGGCTTTCTGTTTCCTTCCTCTTATTTATTTCATTTGACTTTTTCCTTTTGTCTATGAGTCTCATGGTAGTATACGTGGCTTCCTATTCCCCTTTTCTCTTCCCACAGTAACAGAATATTGATAGTCCTTGAATTATGACCACAATTGAGCCCAAAATTTCTGTTGCTAAGCAAGATGGTTGTTAAGTGAATTTTGCCCCATTTTGAGATCTTTCTTGCCACAATTGTGAAGTGATTCATTGCAGTTGTTAAGTTAGTAACATGGTTGTTAAGTGAAGCTGACTTCTCCATTGACTTTGCTTGTCAGAAGATTGCAAAAGGCAATCACATGACCTTGGGACACTGTAACCGTCACAAATATGAGTGAGTTGCCTAGTGTATGAATTTTGATCACATGACAATGGCAATGCTGCAGTGGTCATAAGGATGAAAATGGTCATAAGTCGCTTTCAGTAACACTGTAACTTTGAACGGTCATTAAATGAACAGTTGTAAGTTGAGGACTACTGTATAGTTGATGCTGAGAGATAAGGATTAGTCCTAGTGCACCTTGTAAGCTTCATTGAGAACAGAGCTATTTTGTTTTCAACCAGGCCATATATCGGCCTCTTATACCCATTGTGTAAGTCATGATATGATCTGTTTGGTGTGGGTTTAGCAAACGGTTGGCAAACCAATGGCCTTCCAGATGTCGTTGAAGTACTCCTTCTAAGAATTCCTTCTAAATTCTTCCTTCTAAGGCTGCTGGGAATTGTGGTCATCACCTGCAAGGACACAGATGATGAGTGTGTTGATTGTGTTGGGAAAAGCCAGCCACTATAGTCTGAAAAGAATAGTTTATGGTATAATGTGATCTATGGATTCATTCAGGGTGATTTACTTAACAGACTGTCATTTATAAACATGTGAGGATCCAGCCATGATCTTCTAGCCTTGAACTAAGGCATATTTGGGCAAGGAAAGTCTACCAATATTTCTCTCCCAATTTTTATCTGATCTGATCTTATTGAAGACTAGCAGCATATTAGATGTTTAGATGATGAGCTGAACAAAAGAAGCCTGAAGTTGCTTTAAAATATAAGAAGCGGAAACAAAGAAGATCTCACCAAAGAATCCAGTGGGAGCAGGGTAATGAGCTTTGCAATCGGTATTTGTTTTGTTAGATTTATATTAGTATAACAGAATAACAGAGTTGGAAGGGACCTTGGAGTCCAACCCCTCACTGGGGCAGAAAGCTGATGAAGATTCTTGATTCACCTCGTACTTATGGGTCAAATGTACTCGGTTTCGCAACCTAAGCCACAGCTTCAGACATCACTACAAGGAGGAATCTGCCTTGTAAATATGAGGGTACTTCCCTAACTGTACTAGGGAAAATAAAAGTACCAATTTATTAAAGTAGTTACATCCTTTACAAACAATATAGAAGTTTCAAAGGATTTCATTGGTTGTCTATCTCTACAGGAATTGTTGCTTTGGTTTTGCTGGCAGTCCAAAAAGAAGTCATCTGTGCATGGACCAGCACCTTATCAGGGAAGCCTTGTTGAGCCTTCCTAAAAATATGGCTACTTGAATATTTTGGGGTACATTGTTTCACTCATGCCAACACTCACTGCAAGCACCCTTTTCAAATGCCTTGCATAGCCTTAGTTATTATAAGTAGATCAAGATAACATGTATGAAATGCTTGGAATATCTAAACTTTTCCTCCTTGTGTTCATTATTTGGGGTTTACTTGATTAAGACACTCCTTAAAAGATTATCTCAAGGACCATGCTTGTTTTAACTTCTCTCCCACATGGAACCATGTCTGTGTGGTGGCAAATGTCATCTCATGTAGAATCTGTCAGGACACCTATGCAGCGAGATATAATCTTCTATTTCTGTATCGTGCAGAGTATTTCTTAGCTATCCACAATAGGCTGGAAGTCTGCTGATACGGATGGACAAAAATATAATAGCTTTAGCTTGTTACGGAGGTGGAAAGGAATGTTGACAAGCAGTGGTATAGACTAGCAAAAGATGAAAAGTATTCGCAAGCAATACATTCAAGATGGCCCTCTGGGACTTTCTTCTTACAAATCATCTAATGACTATTTGGTGCCTTCTAGGTATGTTGGAACTATCCATAAGGAGGGTACCAATTGGGGAAAGTCAGTCTAGTATTTTCTGATTCCTGGGGTTCGGAACAAGAATGGTGGACCACAAAGACCTTAATCTCATCCAGCAAAGCACTTTCATTCTCATTCAAGCACTCAGAATCATAAGTGCACTCCTGTTTCCATGGTGAATCAGCCTCTGGAGGTGGAACAATAGCTCAACAAATAGTTCATCACTTTTGAGATTATGCCAAATCATAAGCCTGACTTGGGCATTATTTTAAATCAAGGAGAAATAATATATTGAAAAGCGGTAGGAATCAGCATGTCACCTCTGCTTGAAATTAGCATTTATTCGATTCCAATGCCTTTTGTGGGAAGACCTGAAGGGGAAATCTTCCCCTTTAATCAATAAGCTGTATGCTTTTCTATACTTTCTTTGCATGATGCTTTTCATGATTCAGATAGTTGCACATACCTGATGCCTGTTTCCCCCAAAATCTCAATTATGCAAATTTCTATGACTAGTGGTCGAGTGTGACCATATTTTAGCTAAGGGCATATTTAGTAGCCCAGAGTTTTTCAACCTTGGCAGCTTTAAGCTTGGCAGATTTTTTCAACCTTGCCAGCTTTAAGCTTGGCAGATTTTTTCAACCTTGGCAGCTTTAAGATAGGTAGACTTCAACTCCCAGAATTGGGTTCACTGGCGGGGAAATTTTGTGAATTGAAGTTCACCCATCTTAAAGCTGCCAAGGTTGAATATCACTATATTAGCCTATTTAGCTAGATAAAATCTGGGAAGAGAATACATACTGCCTACCCCTTGCTTGAAAGAAAACCTACAAAGAGCAGTAAATTGCAGAGAGCTGGGTGTTTCTACAAACCAGCCTCATGCCTGGTTGTTGTTTTTTTAAACCTGGTGGATGCCAAGTCCTGTTTAGTCTGTCCACACCGCCTTGTATGTGTCAGTAAAAATATTTTAAAGGAGCTTGTTATTGCACCTAACAAACAAATTTGTTGAAATGTGTCAGATAATGTAATTGCTTCTTTGAATTCTCTGGGTCACTGTTTGACCCTCATAGTCAGTCTTTGCTTTGCATTTAATCATCAAGTTTCAGGCTTCTGAAGTTTTTCTTCTGTTGAGAAAGACGTTTTTGTTTTTTTACTTCACTCTTAAGTTATTTGTGTACAACAATTTTCCTTTGGTTTAATTGATACATGGGATATAAGGGAGGTTGCAAATTCTAAAGAGATTATTGCACAATCCAAAGCACAATGGTAAGAAATAATCTTTGATCAGATTATAACTAGGTTAAATACAAGCGCTCTACTTAGTAAAAATTGAACCAGGATGTTCTTCTCATTTATGATGGATAGCATTGACTGCTATGGTTGGTATTGTACTGCACTTGTATGAATTAAAGGGAACCAAGACTGTCCTGGCCAGAAGGTAAAACAGAGTCAGAAAATAAGCCATTGTATTATTCACATTCATCATTCTCCTCTTCCCTCTCGTCTCTCTGATTTGTAGGAGGTGGAGGGAAACGGAAAGGAAGGAGCAAGAAATGGAGAGAGATCCTCAAGTTCCCACACATCAGCCAATGCGATGAGCTCCGGAAAGGGTTGGGTAAGTGCAACATGAGACAGATTCCCTCTGCTCAAGGAAATGCAGCAGCTGGTAGCCAAAAGTGTCACAAAATGATGCCACCTTACTTCCTTGTGATGAGCAGAACTACACATGCCACATCAAAGTAAGATTTCCTATAACATCAATTTCCAATGGAAAGCCAAATGGGTTGCTGAACATCCAGACAGGTTGATATACAAATGACCCCACGCAAAAGATGCCAGGCTTCGAACAACCACCTCACATGGTGTCTGCCAGGACTCAATGTATAAATGGAACATAGTAACCTCCCCTCAGTGTGACTGTGGGGTCCTATGTCAAACTGTAGGTCTCATCATGACCAGATGTAAGCTGAGGGCATATGTTAATATATGTTGGAAGACCAGGTATCAGTGGAAAAGGTATTAGAGGTAATATTTCTCCTCCAATGAATGCACAGCCTATAATTTAACAGAAAAGTGAGGAAAGGATCTGTGAACAAAACCAAGTATGAATAATCAATAGTTCAATTTAGCTTTTGTTCTTATAATCTTTCCTTACTATGTTAAATTTTAGGCTGTGCATTCATTGGAGGAGAAATAATAATTATTTGTGGAATTGATCACCAGTTGGTGTGATAATGGCCACTAATTTTCCTAATAAGTGGATTGAATCAATGCAGGATCGAACCAGTTAGAAAGGACTGATCTGCTGAAGGTGATTAATCTTGAACTACCATACAGTTTGGAGTTGCGCATTTTCAAGTGCCAGCTGTAGGAAAATTATGATGGGAGAGAAGTGTCTCTATCTCTCTTGTGAGCATCTTGGACATATCTGGTTGGCCACTGAAAGAAATAAACTGCTGGATAAAGATTTGCCATAATTTCACCCATTCCATTGTTATCATCATGGGTCCTATACACTCTTGTCCATTACCCACGTCCAGGAGTGATTCCCAGATTTTCCAGAATTGCACTGCTGAAATTTGATGACAACTGTTAAAATATAACTCTGTGATTCCTCAGATTTTTTAAAAGGGCCTTTACAAGACTTAGTAGACCCATTTTACTTCCTAAAATCCTTATGAGTATTAGGGTGGGGGTAGAGATGGAGAAAAGAAGGGTCTGCGGGAATCCTTGAAATGTGAGGAAAAGAGAACAATAAGCTTATTTTAGGTGTGAAGAATCAGGACCACACATTAAACTCCAGTTAAGTTGATTTATTGCTCATGCCTATACAGAAGAATGTAGTCAACTAATGGTCAGCACTAAATTGGTGTTAGATAAGAGCCAATGGAATTCAAGAGGGATGAACTCAGACCATTTGTGGGAATATAAGGTTTCTAGACTTATGACTCTCTTGACTCCACCCCTGACTCTGCCTATCCTTCTCCAACAGCTCCTCTTCTAAAGAAATTACCCACCTTTGATGTTTGCATGGCAACTACTGTAGGTCTTTGGGGCCACATTGTATTTTTATTCCCCACAACAGCAAAATTGAAAAATAAAGTGGGATAACAGAGAACTATTGCCCTAAAGTCAATGTGACTTGGTGACTGACGGGGGAGAGGTCTCCCCACTCCTAATGCAATACATAACTACTGTATTTAACTGATTATCAGAGGGAAGTTGGAAGTGACTTTCATCATGCCTACTGTGTGATTTTTATGCATCGAGTCATCTCCAAATCATCTCTTTCCAACAACTTCTGTGAGCCTTTTTTTCAAGTGAATCAACACAAAGAGTAAATTAATATCCTTGGTGGTTGTGTGGCCTGGTCTCTGACTTTAAGTAAGCTCACTGTTCTCCCAGGCCCTTGTAGACTATTAGAGATCCTTGTGTCTGCCCCCATCTTCTCATACTTCAGTTTGTTCCCAGAAGGAACATGCTGAGATGCAAATGAGAACATGTTCCTACTGCTTGAAAGTATGTTTACAAAAGATTCTGGGGGTGGGGGGAGTTGTGAAATGGGGAATGCGAAGGAGTTGGGCAAAGGCAGAGGGGCTCGTGAGAGAGCTCAGCAGGACATGATTGTGACAACTAGAAGTTGCAGTTATGGAAAGTGCCATGAGCACCTGAGTGCAAAAAAGAGCTGGCCTTCTCAGTAGCTGAAAAGCAAGTTTTGAGAGTCCAGTTTTTTCCCCCCAGGACTTTGAATCTGCACCCAAAGGTCATCTTTGTTTGATGTGATCACATGAAGAATTTATGTTTTGGGATCAGCTACAACATCATCCCAAAGCTGAACAGTTTTGTATCTAAACAGATGAACTATGATTTAGAATTTCTTTTTTACTTTCATATGCGCAAAATCCAGGTGTGCAATGATAATCCCCAGCATCATCATCCCTATTCACACATTACACTAAACAATAATGTAGCTTGTTTGTTTTGTGCTTATAGATTGAGTCCAGCCATTGTCATTTTGGAATCATAATTAATGAGTTAGATTTATTGCTTATTTTAATAACCAATGTTAAGCACATTGTAGTTTAAAACAGTGTTTGAATTAGCATACACCATGGACTTCAAATTCATAACAAGACTTGGTTTCATTTTTTGTGCACCATTCAGATAATTTTGGCTACAGAGCAAAGCAAATTCAAATCCAGATGAACTTTGATCTGATCTGAAATCTAAACATAGCTCTCTTCTTTGGGGAATTGTGTGCATCTTTAGCTATAAATATTTACAGCCAGGCTGACTGGGAAATTCGGGGAGATGAAGTCCATAAGTCTTAAAGTTGCCAAGGTTAGACACCCCGGCTTTTAAAAATGGCATTCCAACTTGCTACATGTGAAGCTCTACTAAGATGGACACCCTTGAAAGCCCCATGGTCCAGAACTGTCTGCTTACAAGTGACAATAATTCCTTCTCCATATCTTCCTTTGTAGAACGAGATTACAACAGTTTGTGTGACAAGCAACCCATCGGCCGACTGCTTTTTCGACAGTTTTGTGAAACCCGGCTGGAACTCCTACGGTGTATCCACTTCCTGGATGCTGTGGTAAGGCGAGCACAGTTTCTAAAGTATATCTGGTTCTGTTCAGCCAATCCTTAAGGGACAACCAGGTTCCCTTTGGCAGCTCCTATTTAAAGTATCCCAAAACATTGGATGGCACAAGATTGATGATGAAGTGTCAAAAATCAGTAGCAAAATTGATGGAATCCTTGGTACTTCAAGTCTAGAAGAGTGACAGAAACATACCCTTTACAGCAGGGGTCGCCAACCTTTTGGACCTCAGGGACCAGCAAACTCATAATTTTAAATCCCGCGGACCAGAGACCCTGGGAAAATCCCCAAAAAAGTCTGGAGGAAAATTCCTCACCCCGTTTTCCTACCGATCAATCATTCTTTATTTGGGATCGCAGGATACCATCTCCAGCTCCATTCTTGGGGGTGGTGGGGGTGGGAGAGAGACTTTTGGCTTCCGGCAAAGAAAGCAATAGAAGCAGCAGAAGTCTTTCTTTCTCTCCCCCAAATTCTGCCAGAAATGAGTCTTCGTGAGACTTGTCATGCCAGCACAGCCTCTTGGAGCAGGAGGCCTTGTAGGGTCCCAAAGATTCATTTCTCGCAGAGTTTGGGGGAGAGAAAGAAAGACTTTTGCTGCTTTCCTTGCATGCAGCCACAAGCAGAAGAAAAAAGAAGCAGAAAGAAGCAGCCAGGTGGCCAAGTGAGGCATGTGGAGCAAGTGGGGTAAGTCCCACCCACTGCCCTTTCCTCCCTCCCCTCACTACCTCATGTTGTTTGCAATGCAAGCAACACAAGCCTTGTATTCCCATGGGCCATGTGGGTGGTGCAGCCTTGTGTTCCCGCACAACCAGGATTAATTGCTTTGCGGGGTGCTTTGGGGGTGACATTTCTCTGCGGACCACCACAATTTTCTTGCGGACCCTGTCCCACTGGTGGTGACCACTGCTTTACAGTATATGCACTACTGAATTAGGTGGACCTGTTACCTAATTAAATAATAAGTTCTTTTGCTTTCCTCCTCCAATCAGGAATGGTTTAGCTGGGTGCAAAATATCTGCTTTACATGCAATTGGTCATGGGTTTGGTCCCAGGGATCTCCCACTGAAAACAAGTGGGATCTAGTGGCATATGTGAGGAGAAAGGTCCTTTGTCAAGCACTCTTGAGAGGTGCTTCAGCTTGATCCTTCATCGTTTGTAACCAGTTGGAATTTGGAGAATCTATCATGGGTGTTTCTCATCAAAAAATGGCTGCTTACAAGAAGCTGTTCATGTCCAGGCCTGCATAAGCCAGTGTGGTTGTTTATCACCAGGTAAAATGATGAAATTAAAAAATAAAACTTAATATGAAGGCTGGGATGGAACTGAAGTGCCAAAATACGTACTGGCACTCCCACAAGACTTCAGAATATCTGTTTTCCAGAAGCCATGGTAGTGACACTCAGAAAACACTCATATCTACACTACCCTTCCACCAGCACACACACATATCAAGGTAAACCACACAACGCACACTCTGATATATATGCAAAAATATTCCCCAACCTTGTTTATTCTTAAATCTTTAACTTACTTTCCCAAGCTTATCTTATATCTGAAACGTATGGTCTTATATTTGAGGAACCTCAAAGAAAAAAATATCTTTCATCTCTGCCCATTATAGACAGGATACGGTCTCTTATGGGGGGTGGGGTTTGGAATTTCTCATCATCTTCTCCCAACTGGCTAGTAAACATTGGATGCAAATTAGAAACTTTCATGACCTTCTTCACACGACGCACTCCGCTGTGGGAAATCCTTTCCTCGTAACATTTTAGTTCCAAGAATCCAGTTATGGAACTTACAGAGGAAGTACAAAATCAGTCACTCTTTTGAGATAATTCTGTTCACCAAAATTCTGATGGCAACATTTTTATCTTCTCTGTCTTTTACAAACCTTCTTCCTGTCAGTACTGCCTTTTTGAAATTCTTGTAAAGGGAGGACAACTTAAAAAAAAAAAAACTAAGAGGGGAATGGTGGGGGGAAAAAAACCCAAATTCTTGCAGAGTGACCTCTGGAGAAGATCAGAAAGGCGGGTGTGTTTTTCAACCCACTCTAAAGTCAACGTGCAAAAATTCCATTGGGATGACGTATGATTTAAAAGTCAGCACTTCATCTGAAATACTATCCTAGTGTTTTTGTGGGTTGCAACCCCCACTCATGTCTTTCTTTTGAAAATTTTGCTTAGCCTGAAAGCATTTTAACCTCAAGCAGAACAAATCATAGTTTAGGGTTTCTTCAACTCATTTTCCTCTCCAAGTTCCTTCTTCCGCATCTCCTAAACTCAGACAAATTTACAACCAGAAAATTGATCTGTTTTTGCTCCTGGGCCAGGAGGTCTTTTCAGATGGCCAGGAGGCCTTACATCAACCTCGTAAAACACACTGTGTTTCTCATTACCAAACTGTTTATGCAATTCAACATTGTTCTCTCTCTCTTCCTCTCAATGGGAGGGAGTTTGTTGAACCTTGGGCCTCTTATTTTCATAAGCTTGTTGGATGTGAATGACAGGAATGCCTATCTGGTCAGCTGGCTGCAAAATGGGAAACACATGCTTGGAAACCAATCCTCTGTAAGATTTGAACTCTTTCAGCCAGCAAAAGGCTGAGTGATAAAAAGTCATTGTTTATTTAAATTTGGTTCAGGAACTTGACCCGGCCAGGGGATCTTTTCTCAAGGAAATTAAAACTGGTGAGCATCAAATGCTTTAAGAAGGGTGTTGAAGGATCCGGAACGATTTATGCTTTTCATTTTTCAGAGTTCAGCACCTTGTTTTCCCATTCTTATTTCCAAGTTAATAGAAATGGATACAGCTACAATCCCAAGAAATCTGTCCCTGGTTTTGTGTTTTTTTCATCAACCGTTATAGTATGCAAAGCTCCCAGAATAGTTTATATAATAACAAAAATTGGAAAGCTCTCAGAATTGTGGTCTAAAAAACCCTTCACACAGAGCTGGAAAAAAAGGCAGTGAAAATAAGAACTATCCAGATACCAAGTATTAAAATGGTATGGTGACTATAATGGAATTGGGCTGCTTTTAGAGTTACACCGTTGTCTCCAAGTTCAACAATCCAGTTGCTTTATCATACCAGAACAGCAGTCTTAATATTGTTTACAGCAGATGGAAATTTTTCTTTGCCCTTTAAATTCTCAGTATTTTTTTTTCCAACACCTTTGAGTCAGAGTTGATTCCTGGTGACTCCCTGGACATGTCCCTGTAGTTTTCTTGGCAAGGTTTCTGAAGGAGTTTGCCATTGTCTCTTTCCTTGAGTTGAAAGTGAATGACTGGCCCAAGCTCATTCAGCTGGTTTCATGCCTAAGACAAGAATAGAACCCACAGTTCCTTGGTTTCTAGTCTGATGCCTTAACCACTACACCAATGGTCTAACCAGGACTAAATTTATAGTCTAAGAAAACTTTTCAGCATGGCACTCTGCAGTCAGCTTTAACATTTCCTACCAGCATTTTCACTAGAAGTGGAGAATAGGATTGTTCAATTTGCTTTGTTGGGTTTTTTCCAGCAAACATAGAGGGAATTATCTGCTGTGTATTAGTGCAAGGCCAAATGTCTATGGAGATTCTCAGTCATCCAGGTTATAGTTGTCTCAAAGGTGCTTTTTCCAAAGGGACTGTTTTTTGAGGATGAAGATGTTTCGCTTCTCATCCAAGAAGCTGCAAGTTTAGATTCTTATCCAATAGTGAACAGTCTGAATAAGACCAAAATATCTTCACACTGATTAAATATAATAGTTGAGAATTGCAGAGTTGGTTTTACTGAGTTTAGAATTTCTTCAGAAAAAAGCCTTCCAGTTGTAACGTGCTTCTTTTTTTAAATATGTGCATCTCATATCTGGAAATCACTGTCTGAGCTCACCCGTTGTCCTTAGTCATGGTTCCTTGAATAAGCTGCAACTGGCTGAATTCACATATATTGCAAATCCATAATCTCAATACATTATTTTTAAGCTCACATAGCATGCTAATATCAAACCAAAGAAATCACACCATATAAAGTCACTATGTTTATAGGTCCAAAGTACAGACAGGGATTTAATAGAGTGTCATCTTAGGTGCCTTCTATCTGAATATCCAACAGCACAAAGACTTCAGTCACTTTACTAGTGGTTGCCATGTTTATTTTGATATCTGCCATTGTAGTTTTGCATTTAACTCATAATGCACTGGACTTAGAAGTTTTTACCCATTGCAGTTAGGAAAATATAACTGGCTGCAATATCTGGGTGCTGCTAGAAGAACAGTTCTATACATGTCACCAGCAATGGAGGCCCCAATCTGTATCCCGTCACACCTGTAACAGGATGCTAGAAGCTGAGGCAGTGGCACTGTTTATAGCTTGCACAGAAATCTCTGGTGCTCTGTCTTTTATAGTCTTCCTGAAGGCAGTTTCAATATGCTCTTAGTTAATAAATTTTCTGCCATGATAAGGTGTTTATCTTTTCATCAGATGTTAGCTTTTATCTACTGCTGTTTCCTGTTCCTTCCTTTTATCATGATGGAGTGCTATTTTATATCAGAAGTGTGCTATTGCTCTTTGAATTTGTGTACTGCTTTGTTTGCCCTTAGGGCAGGGGAGCAGGATAAAAATAATTAATTTGGTGGGTGGGCTGATAGATCCTTCTCCTTGAACTCCCTGCTGTTTTTTTGTGTTCATTCTCTAGCCAGACTTCATCCATCATCAAGATACTTTGGGTATGCATACAGGTTCCCAATCCTGTGGCAGATTTGGGGGTCTTCTAGCAAATCATTGTCCCATGATTAATTTGTGTCTCAGCAACCCAGGGTGTTTAACTTTAAGAGTCTTTGGCTTTTTCCATTTTTCTCCCTTCCTCAAAGTCTTCTCAGACCCAGGTTTATTCTTCTGCTTCTTCAGCAGCTGACGGTCTTGTAAAGGAGCAATATGGAGGAACGTTCATCAAGCACCCCTGTAGCTGGTGAACATCCATCTACTTCCCTGGGGAATTGCTGTACATGCTTTCCCATTCATTTCTCATGGCTGTGGCCCAGCAGCCTTTCCAGCAACAAAAACACAGATGTCACTTGAGCCTTGAGAGTAGCAATGACCTGCAAGTCATCCTAGTGACATGGACCTTCTAATTTGGATCTTCCTGTTTTTAAGAACGTTGGAGGGATGTTAAGGCAATTTATTAAAGGTGGGGGAGAGGGAAATCCACCTGTGTTCTTCTGCTTTGATTGGCCATTTGAGGTCCACCTCCCTTCTCTTGCAGTTGACATGTAGCGCAAAGCACTTTCATACTTGGCGTTATCGCCCTGGTCTGCTGAAATGGGTTCCGTCTGCTGCACGCTTGGCCAATTTACCTGCCTCTCCACTCCCACCATCACCACTATTGGGATGAGATGAGGAGTCCATGTCTTGTTTCCCTTTTGTTGCTTAGCAGCAAGCCCTGTTCCAAAACAATGGGGAGGGAATCTGTGGGTCAGATTTTTTAATAGCAGCAATGTGCTCTTCTCCACTGTCAGGCAAACAGCTTGTGCTCCTGTGGAAATAAGCCAGGAAAGGAAGGGAGGTACACTAGAGAGACAAAAAGAATGTGGGGAGTGGGAGGAAGGAGGGGGTAAAGGGAATTACAGACAGGGACTTTAAGCTTGAATCCAGAAGCAGAGTTGAAAGCCGGACCACACTTTTGTCTTCAGGTTTCAGTTGCTGGAGTTCCCTTTAGGAGTCCACACTGGGAGATGTAGAAATCCTTGCTTAGTTCTTGGTAGGGTTGAGTACAAAGCGTTTCTTCATTCATACAGTAGCATCAGTGCACAAATTATAATACTTTACCTGTCTAATATGAGAAGCACAAGTTCCTTATTTTTCCCACATTTAAATCCCACAATCCAGCCTAACAGAGCCTGCTGTTTTGAGTGGGATGTGAACCTGTTAGGATGTTCACAGGTCCTGGTCATTTTTCAATCTTGTCCTGGATCAGATTTGAGCTAGATGATTCTTGTAATTCCCAGGCTTTTTGCAATTTGGCTCGTTCAGATTCAGACTAAGGAAATGATAATGGTCAGCTCTTGAGGCCATGTTTGGTCTTGGAGGACTTTGATTGTTCATTCCTTAACATCTTCAGATGCCTAGAGAGCTTAAGGACCTCCTAGCTGAGCTTGAAAAACCAAGCAGGATGAGATCTGGTTAGCATTTGGATGGAAGAAATCAAGAAGTCCTAAGGCCACAGTCTAGTCTTGGTAAACAGTAGAACATCCTAGAAGAAGCCTGATCCAGCTACTTTATATTTTATCTTTTTTGTTTATTTTAGATCAGGCTGCATCTTCCCCTGAGAGTCTAGCACAAATAAGTATGGAAAATTGGTGACATTCAAGTCACCAATTTATATTTACTTGTATTTATACAAGTAAACCAATTTAGCAACATCTGCATGTGTTTCATCACAGTTGTCATTATGAACCAGTTGACAAAATGTGTTCCATCCATAGTCCCAGGCATCTTGCTGATTAGTGAACTATAAACATCCCCTTTCCCCCAGGAAAAATCTCTAGTATTTATGCTTTCCCATCTGTTATTTTTTCATACCCTGAACTCAAGGGGAGCTGTGAAAATCTCATCTGGCATCTGGTGTGTAACATCCGCAAGTTTACTTATATCCTTGATATAGGACTATCTGAAGGACACACAAGTGCCAAAAGAGAGTTGTTTTCAGTCCATTGTATCATCCCCATGTATATGCACTTAGGTGAATCAGAATACAGTTGAAAGAGACCTTGGAGGTCTTCTAGTCCAACCCCTTTTCAAGCAGGAGACTATACCTACCAATACCAGTAGGTGGTTGTCCAGTCTTTTCTTAAAACCTTCCAGTGATGAAGCATCTACAACTTCTGAAGGCAAGCTTTTTCACTGGTTAATTGTCTTCACTGTTAGGAAGATTCTCTTTAATTCTAGGTTACTTCTCTCCTTGATTAGTTTCCATCCATTGTTACTTGTCCCATCCTGTGCTTTGGAAAATAATTTGACCCCCTCTTTTCTGTGGCAACCTCTCAAATATTGGAACACTGCTATCATGTCCCCTAGTCCTTCTTTTCTCTAGACTGGCTATACCCAGTTCTAGCAACCGTTCTTCATATGTTTTTGTCTCCAGGCCCTTAATCCTTAGCTCTTCTTTCCACTTTTTCCAAAGTCTCAACTTTTTTAAAAAAAATCAGTGACCAAAACTGGATGAAGTATTCTAGTGTTGTATCACTAGAAGTCTTATAGAGTGGTATCAATACCTCACTTGATCTTGATTGTATCCCTTTGTTAATACAACTTAGGTTTGCATTGGGTTTTTTGGCTGCTGCTGCATACTGCTGGCTCATATTTAACTGGTTGTCCACTAAGACCCCAAGATCCTTCTCACTGTTACTGCTATTAAACCTGGTTTCACACAGACTATATGTCTATTTTTGGTTTTTCTTGCCTAAGTGTAAGACTTTACTTTTCTCTGCACTGAATTTCATTTTGTTAGATAGGGCCCAGTGTTCAAATCTGTCAAGATCCATCTGGATCTTGAGCCTATCTTCTAGAGTGTTAGCTATTCCTGCCAGTTTAGTATCATCTGCAAATTTGGTAAGTTCCCCTTCTACTCCCTCATCTATGTTGTTTATGAAGATGTTGAAGAGTAAGATGGAATCTTGTGGTACTCCACTGCTTACTTCCCTCCATGTAGACTTAGACCCATTAAGGACTACTTGAGCATAGTTTGTCAGCCAGTTATGAATCCATCTGGTGGTAATGCTATCTATCCCACTTTTTTCTAGCTTACCAAGAAGTAGGTTGTGGTCTACTTTGTCAAATGCCTTGCTGAGGTCTAAGTATATTATGTCCACAGTATTTCTTGAATAAACAATGCCTCAATTGGCACAGTGTGAACATAGTCAGTATAAAACAGCCTTAAATTCACAACAGTAACTTGTGGCACATTTTGTTCTTTACTAGTTCTCTAAGCAGTTAGTACTTGATGATTTCTTTTTGACTTCAGAGAAAAGGAGAGATAGTGGCTTTTTCTCCAGTTAATCAAGAAAGAGTCCGTTTTCTTTGTCTGTAAGAGCATTGCAACAAGAGGGCAAGGGGAAGAAATAGAGAGAACCATTCACATAGCTGATGCAATAATACACATCTGTGGGTGTGGAATTTCTTGACGACTGCAGCTGGACAACAAGTTGGTTATTAAATACAAAGCAGAAATAACATTTCTCCAGAACTGCACCTAGAATATCACTATTGCAATTCAGGAAATTTGGCAATTCCAGAAACAAGCAAAAAGGAAAGGCAGAGTAACTATCAATGTTTCATCCATAACTCACAACTTTATACCAGAACAGAGGTCACTCCAGGTTCTTTTCCATGAAGAGCACTTGAGCTTTTAAAAATGAAAGGAAAAAAATGAAAGATCTCAAGGACCAAAACTGGGGTAGGGGCAATAAATAGGACGATCTAGTTTTGAGCTAATTCTCCCTGCCATCTCCAAAATGTTTGTGAGTCAACAGACAATGAGGAGAAACATAAGTCTTGTGGGGGGGGGGGAGACACCTTAATGAATCAAGAAATGTCCTTCTAGATGTGTGGGATAGATGCCCTCTCTGGCTTCCAGGATAATGTCCTTTTCAGGTGGAGCTTCTGGTCTGATGACCCTCTTTTCTTCTTCCCCAGGCAGAATATGAGCTTTCTCCAGATGAGAAACGTAAGGAAATGGGAGAAGAAGTCATTCGGCAGTTTTTCAACAAGGAGGTCAGTATCGCACCTTCAGAAGATAAAGGTGGAGATTGATAGGGTCCTTCTAAAAAGGTGGTTTGATATACAGAAGTCCAAAAGTATTATTAAGAATTGCTAGAATAATCTGTAGCAACTTATGTTTCCTTTCTCTGGGCTTGCCCCATTTTTCTTCTTCCAGCTATTGTGTGAGATGTTTTACTTTGGATAAAAGTGCCAGGATCATTTCAAAAGATGTGATCTTGGGTGCTGGGTGCTTTTAGAGTATTCCTGATTGTAGAGTCCAAACATTGAGTAATCCAAAAGAATCTTCTTCAATTGGTTGGCTTTCCAGAGGAGCTCAACTCTAGCTGCTCTTCTCCTAGACAGCAGGAATGATTGGTTATGAGAACCTTATTCTAGCAAACAGAAGATCACTAACTAGGGAAGGCTGCTGTATGAACTGAGAGCAGAGACTACAGAAGCATATAGCATATTTTTATTTTACAGTGAGGAGTCAAAGTAGGGAGTGAAGACAGAGAAGAATAAGAATTGAAATCTACCGATAGAGGAGAATATTTGTAAGTCAACTGTAGAGTCCTTCCTGCTCTTGAGCTTGGTGGTTTTCTTGCGGACATTTCATTACTAAACTAAGGAGCACAATGGCTCATGTAGTTAGGACTCTGGTTTCTAGGTTAGTAAGCCCAGATTGAAGAACTGAGTGCTGCCATGGGGTGGGGTTAGCTCTCATCCTTCACTCCAGCTCCTGCTGAGGACATGAAAGAAGCCACCAATTGTGCATCCCCTGGGCAATGGTGGTGTCACTGGCTAATCCTTTCCCGGAAGCACCTCAGTGCTTCTGACACGTGTAGTAATTACTAAACTAGGTAACATCATCAGTGCACGACTCCACAGAATTAGTATCTAGTGTGCAAGATAGTTTACTCGCTTTAAGAATTATTAAGCATTTGTTTATGGCTCTTTTCCTTCTTTTTATGTGTATGAGTTTAGTCCCTGGGCTATATGGCAGAAATTTGTGAACTTTTTATGAACCAGTGCATAGAAGACCTACAGAGAAGCCCTTGCAAGGATCTCTTTGGCAGTTGTGTACAGTAAGTACTACATCCAATAGATCTGGAAGCCAAAAGGATAAGGGGGTGGATTTGGTTTCTTGTCAGGACAAGCTTGTGTATATCCATAGAAGTCCAATTTTTTGTATAATAAACCAACCTTTTCCAATCTAGGAACCCTTCCAGATGTGTATGTAGACCAACCACAGAGTTCCCCAAATCCAAGTGACATTTCTGAGAATTATGGGAGTTGAAATGTATGGGTGGAGGGTGCCCTGTCGTAAAACATCGGGATAAAACATGGTTACTTTATCCATAATTTGCTATAAAGAAGATAGCTGCATAAATCATGGTTGACATTGGCTTGTTTTAAACTCAAAGGGTAATTAAAATAACCACAATTTGTTGGGTTCAAATAATGTGGCTAGATGTGGCTAATATACTCATACAACACACTTACTCATAGTTAACCATATTGAACTCTGTCCAGTTTTCTGGGTTCACACACTACAATAATTCATAACCACACAGGCTGAGTTTGCACAAATGCTATATTGAAATGATTTGGGACTTAGTGTGTCATATAAAACAGCCAATAACTCCCAAACTCTTTTTTTAAATATGCCCCCAATGAAGGAAAGGTGTGTATGACCTAGATGGGGGCCTGAATTCATTCCTTTTACAATGAACTCAATGAAAATTATTTAGTGTAGTTTTTAGTAATTACCTATTCTACAGATACATGAAGGCATGAGACTGAAGAACACTGATGTTTTGTGGTAACCAATTTGTAGCTAATTAATCCAATAATTTTCTAAATGGCATTTACATTACATATTACATTAAAATAAAGTCTATTAAGCTATGTATAGCATAGCTTATTGAATCCATGTCACACGAGGAATAAATCATTTACAAACCATGACAGTTGAGTCCATAATCCTGCTATCAGTCTCAAACAAACCTTATTTTGAATGAACCCAACTAAGTGGTGCATCTTTTCATTTTATAAGAAAATCATGACCAGTCAAGGCTGAACTGTTTTTCTTCCCTATGAATCCCAAGGTGGACCATCATGGGCAGAAGTAGCTTTAAAGTCAAGAAAAAACACTGGGTTTATATCATTATATAGCAGTGTTTCTCAACCTTGATAACTTTAAAATGTGTGAACTTCAATGCCCAGAATTTCTCAGCTGATATGCTGGGTGGAGAATTCTGGGAGTTGAAATCCACACATATTAGAGTTGCTAAGCTTGAGAAGAACTGCTATGGAGAGTATCCAATATTAATCACTTTGTGAGCCCACAAAGAACCTGCCTTCCTAATTCATAGGGGGAAAAACACCCATTTTCAATTCCTCTTATCTCCTAGGCGCTTGCATGAATACCTGGGTGGTGCTCCTTTCACAAATTACCAGGACAGTATGTATTTTGACAGATTCCTCCAATGGAAACACCTGGAGAGGTAAGACAATAATCCTGAGTGGCCAGAATGCAAGAATCCCCACTCATTTACTGAGCTAATGCTGATAAAAATGGGTGTTCAATGATGCGGTATGATCTTCTTAATATCTTTAGGCAATCCGTGACCAAAGACACCTTCAGGCAATACCGGATCCTAGGCAAAGGAGGCTTCGGAGAGGTAGGAAGTGGTGACAGCTTGAACTTGTTCTGAATTAGGAGTAGCTTTGGATTCCTGCAATCTCAAATTCATTTCTTTGGCCTCAGTTCGAACTAGGAGGGGTGAATTTGCCAAAGTCAGATTTACTCAGTTTTCAAAAGCAACCACCACCAAAAACCTATTTTAGCTTTCTTCTGCATCTCACCACAAACTTCCTCAAAGATAAATCAGCTCTTTTCCAAATATGTCTGATTTTGGAGTGGGGGCATTGTTTGAATCATGAAAAGATTAAGACATTCCGGAAAATAGAATTTTTATCATTTAAGTGGGTTGCAATTTGGGTCTAGGTTTATGAAGTGCAACATTTTTGTCAAAATGAATCAAATAAATTTTGCTGCTATGCCTACTTATAATACTTCTATTATTGTCTGCCAAATGGTGAATTGTCATAGCAATTCCTATCAGTGAGAGTGAGAGGCTCACTGCATGCAGAAGCTATTTCAGACCATGCTGGCCGGGGAATTCTGAGTATTGAAGTCCACAAGTCTTAAAGTTGCCATGGTGGGAGACCCCTGGTCTAGATCAGGGGTCGCCAACCTTTTGGACCTCAGGGACCACCAAACTCATAATTTTAGATCCCAGGGACCACTAACTGGTTCTGTGGGTGTGGCCTAATTTGTAGGTGTGGCTTGGTGGTCATGTGACTGGCTGGGCATGGCTTGTATATAAATATTATATATATTTATATAAATATTGAATTTTTTTATAAAAAAGAGCAACTTTTTCCCAAAATCAGGCAAAGCAGACAGGCAGATTGAGTTGCTCATAGAATCACAGATTCATTTCAAAATCTATCTATCTGCCATTGGCTAGCTCAGTCTGTCACATAAAATTTGCTTGCAAGCAAACTCATAAAATTTGCTAGCAAGAAAACTCATAAAATTAACTCACAACACACCATGTATGTAAATATTGAACTTTTTATTTAAAAAATAACAACTTTTACCCAAAATAAGGCAAAGCAGGCTGGCAGATTGAGTTGCTCACAGAATCACAGATTCATTCAGAAATCTATCTATCTGTCATTGGCTAGCTCAGTCTGTCACATAAAATTTGCTTGCAAGCAAACTCATAAAATTTGATAGCAAGCAAACTCACAAAATTAACTCACAACACACCATGTATGTAAATATTGAATTTTTTTAATTAAAAAAAGCAACTTTTATCCAAAATTAGGCAAAGCAGGCAGATTGAGTTGCTCACAGAATCATCAGTGATCTATCTATCTGCCATCAGCTAGCTCAATCTCTCAAATTTGCTTGCCGTGAGTCTGCACTGAATTTCCTTGCAAGCAAACTTTCAGTCCTAAGGGAGGTTCGGCTGTACACTTAAAAGCAGAGCTGAAGATCTAAAGACTAGCTAGAAAGCAAGAAATCCAACCATTTCCTGCTTCCTAGCTAATCTAAATCTCCCGGCACAGCAGAACGGATGACGGTCGGAAAAAGGAAAAATAGCAACTTAGCAGACAAGTTTGCCGGGTAAGGAGTGAGTGGGCGGGGAGGGTTCCTGCGGGCCATGTGGGCTGAGCAGCCTTGTGTTTCTGTGTAGCCTGGATGAATTGCTTTTGGGGGGTGCTCTGGGGGTGAGATTTCTTTGTGGCCCACCGAAATTTTCTCATGACCCACCAGTGGGCCATAGCCCACCAGTTGGCGACCGCTGGTCTAGATGACCAAGCTAGAACCCCCCAATTGACTGAATTCATACCCATCTCTCTGGTTTGTAGTTTGCAAACCACTTAAAAGTACAGTATAGTATTAGGTCTTAAGACAACCCAGGGTTAATTCAGCAGTTAAGCTACTTCACCTAATGCAATGCAATGGAGAAACACAGCATCTCACCCCAAGTCCCCCACCACAAAAGGGTAGTTGTGAATCATGTGGGAGAAAGATGTCTATGGAGATTCTCAGTCATCCAGATCATGGTTGTCCCTTTTTCAAGTTCCTTGTTTTTCTTTGAAGACGTTTTGGTTCTCATCCAAGAAACTTCTTCACCTCTAGAAGGGCTTCTTCAAAGAAAAAAAAGAAAGTCCAATTGCCTCTTGAAAAAGCAAAAGAGCATTTTTGGCAGGACTGGATGTTGCTTATAAATAATTCCTATCCAAGAAGCATCAGAGGTCATCAAAATATCAAATCAGGAATGGCCCAGACATCCTGTCCTCTTCTGGGCTACTGGAAGTCCTGAAATGAAATTGAAATAAATCTAGAACCCTCTAAAAAAAGTAGATATGAAGAAGGATTGAGACTAATGCTCCAGCATTACTTCCTTCTTCTCTGACATTACTGTTTTGATGGGGAAACTCTGCAGGAAGGTTGTCATTGTGTTCATCTGAATTTGACCACAACTTCCCATGAAGCTTAATTCCAGTTTCATGGAGAATTGCAACATCATTCCATTAAAAATGTTTACACACTATTTCTACAGTTCTTGTCAACACGGGTCAAGCAGGGGAAGGGAGAAGAGTTTACTACAATCTGACTCCATGAAGTTGTTTGCTGAGAGCCAGAAGAGGTTTGTTCTGAAAGGGTGCAACCCCAAGTTAGCAACACAGAAGCTGCATTTAGATTATATTAAAAAATAGACATGACTCATTTCCTGGTTATTCCACCTAAATCCTTGTTATTAGTTGAGTGTGAGGGACTTGAAAAATAAAGGTGATGACTTCATATGCTGAGGCTGGGACAATTCAGTTTGTCCAATTTTTGGTTTGGAGTTGAAAGGGTCAAGAATGAACGCAGAGGAAGAAAAATCACTGGGAATAAAACCATTCTCATGTCCTTCTTTAGAAAGAGCTCCCCACACCCACCCAGTCTCCTCCAAATTGCACTGCTGAAGTGTGGGGAGAAAGGACTACAAATCAATGTAATTTGATGGCAATATAGTTCTGGCTGTTTTGAAGTAGGTAGAGGTAATCCTTGACTTACAAGCACAATTTGAACCAGAACTTTGCTCGCTAAGTGATTCAACTGTTAAGTGAGTTGGGTCCAATTTTATGACCTTTTCAATGGGGTCATTAAATGATCATCATGGACATTAAGCAAATCATGTAGGTGTTAAGCAAATCCAGCTTCCTCCACTGACTTTATTTGTCAGAACCCTCCTTAGAAAGTCGCAAATGGGAATCACATGATCCCAGGATGCTGCAAATACATGCTGGTTCCTAAGCACCCAAATTTTGATCAGATCACCACAGGACACTGCAACGATCGTAAGTGTGAGTAAACTATTTTTTTGAGAGCCATCATAACTCCAAACAGTTGTGAAATAAATGGTCATAAGTCAAGGATTATCTCTTAACAGTAAAAAGCAGTGAAACTGTTTATCTTGCAACGGGCTCCCATTTTCCCTGTTCAGATTAATTCCTTTGGCGAAGGGTCATACCACCAGACATGTCTTCTTGCCTCTTGATTTCTGCAAGATGGTCTTGGAGATGACATTCCTGTTTTGGAGATGGTCTCCAAATAGAATTTGGGCTGCAGGTGGCCTGCACCTGCTATAAATAGATTGATTTAACGGAACATTTGAATAGCAGTTTCAAGATTTTTAATTCCAACAGGCCAAGCTGAGCCCAACTAATGGATAAAGGACACTATTGCTGTGCTTAATGGACCCCTAAGGTTTACAGAAGAACAAAATATTAGAGAAAGAAGGAGACAGTCTGTTTCCTGCTCCTCCTAAAAGCCAAATGTAGAATGTGGCTACCAGTATAAGATGACCCAGAATCCATTCAGAACATGGGAAGACAAAGCACTGCAAGCAGCTGGACCCTCTATGGCAGTGGTCTCCAATCTTGGCAACTTTAAGCCTGGAGGACTTCAACTCCCAAAATTCTGGGAGCTGAAGTCCTCCAGGCTTACAAGGTTGGAGACCCCTGCTCTATGGTACTGTTTCTCAACCCTGGCAACTTTAAGGACACATGGATTTCAAGTCCCAGAATTCTGGCTGGTTGAGAAATTCTGGGAGTTGAAGTCCACATGTCTTAAACTTGCCATGGTAGAGAAACACTGCTCTAAAGGGTCACTTATTTAGGAAGGGAGACACCCTGGTTACATTTAGTCCCCGCAAAAACATGTAACTGCTTTTAAAAGCTGCTTTGAGAGGGAACTGTGTAATGTGGCAAGTGAGAGCTTTCTGTTCTTTCCATCCCTCTTGCTCCTAATCATCTCCCTCTTCATAGCAATTTACACCCAGCAACCCACAACTTCCTGTAGTTGCCCTGCTGAAGTTGGGTATCTAAATAATTTAGCAGGACAATCTTAGACCATTTGGGGTTTAGAATGGGAAAGAGCGCTGTTTGGCTCAAGGAGCCTTCCCACTCTTACCTGCCCTCTGCCAGTAAAAGGGAAGAAAAAAAACCAAGCTGAACAACTGTACTCCTCTACCCACTTCCAGTGGTATCTCTGAAATAAATACAGTGTTGTGTGGCTCCTCTTCAGAGGTTTGGGAAGCTAAATAGCAGTCTTCACCTCTCAGATGATGTAACACTACTGCAATGTCGATAGCAGCCATTAAATGTGCCCCTGACAGTCCACCTTGTCTTGCCTTTAGGTTTGTGCATGCCAAGTACGTGCTACAGGGAAGATGTATGCTTGCAAAAAGCTGGAGAAGAAGCGCATCAAGAAGCGGAAAGGGGAAGCAATGGCTCTGAATGAGAAGCAGATCCTGGAGAAGGTCAATAGCCGATTTGTGGTGAGCAACAGTCCTGACTGTGTTGTTGATGACTGCATTTGGGATTGGCCTTTAGAAGGCTGAAATATCCAAAGACTTCCATTTGCTAATGCTATTTGGCTCTGCATTCTGAGGGGGATTTCACAGTATCAGATTCAGCCTGGTTGATTTAGCTGCAGTTATTGCCCATGATAATTAAATGAAACTTCTTGCATTCAAAAGCGATGGTCAAGTGTCTTTTAGGGGCAGTCCAGCCCAGTTTTCTCCAGATATAACTGGGTAAATAATGTTGTACCAAAATATACTTCCAATTCCTAGAAATTGCTTGTTCTGTGTCACTTTTAAAGTGGCCCTGTCATTTTTCAGGTTTCACTCATCTGAAAAAAAAATTGTGGCTGTTTTAATTAGTAGCAGAGTAGCTGGACTTGCATTCTGGAAGACTGCGAGCAAGTTATTTTCAAAGCGTGCACAGTTCTATCAAATATAAGAGAATAAGGCAGCTCCCTGTATTTCTAAACTATTGAATGTCATATGTTTATGGAAGGGGATAAACAGATGATTGCTATCTACATGTTTCTTGATAATTGGACACTGTAGAAGCAGAATATTCTGCAATATGCTTGGAGTCATCTCCTTCTTTTCATCTATGCCAACAGGTCAGTTTGGCTTACGCGTATGAAACCAAGGATGCTCTGTGCCTGGTCCTCACAATCATGAATGGAGGTGATCTGAAGTTTCACATCTACAACATGGGCAACCCGGGTTTTGACAATGAGCGGGTCACCTTCTACGCTGCAGAGATTTGCTGTGGCCTTGAACATTTGCACCAGGAGGGCATTGTTTACAGGTGAGAGGGGATGAAATTATTTCCTGGTTCCAAAAAGATAGAGAAAGGGCTAAGGTAAAGTCTCTCTTAATTGGCATGATGGAGAAGTGATCATCACCCTTTATCTGATTAAGTGTTGAGTTATCTGAATGGCAGAGGGAATCAACTGCTAAACCAATGTCGCTCTACCTGGCACTCCATGTGGATCCTTTAGGTGTTGTGACCAACAATTTTAGAGGGAGAGACGTGCTAAACCAGGGGTCGCCAACCTTTTGGACCTCAGGGACCACTAAACTCATAATTTTAAATCCCAGGGACCACTAACTGGTTCTGTGGACATGGCCTAATTTATGGGTGTGGCTTGGTGGTCATGTGACTGGCTGGGCATGGCTTGTATGTAAATATTATAAATATTTATATAAATATTGAATTTTTTATAAAAAAAAGAGCAACTTTTTCCCAAAATCAGGCAAAGCAGGCAGGCAGATTGAGTTGCTCACAGAATCACAGATTCATTCAGAAATCTATCTATCTGCCATTGGCTAGCTCAGTCTCTCAAATTTGCTTGCCATGAGTCTGCACTGAATTTGCTTGCAAGCAAACCTTTAGTCCTAAGGGAGGTTCGGCTGTGCTTAGCTAGAAAGCAAGAAATCCAATCATTTCCTGCTTCCTAGCTAATCTAAATCTCCTGGCACAGCAGAACACCTGATGGTCGGAAAAAGGAAAAATAGCAACTTAGCAGACAAGTTTGCCGGGTAAGGAGTGAGTGGGCGGAGAGGGTTCCCACGAGCCATGTGGGCTGAGCAGCCTTGTGTTTCTGTGCAACTTGGATTAATTGCTTTGTGGGGGTGCTCTGGGGGTGAGATTTCTCTGCGGTCCACCAAAATTTTCTCACGGCCCACCGGTTGGTGGCCGCTGTGCTAAACCATAATGGATTAGACCAGTGGTTCCGAAACTTTTTGAGTACACCGCCCTCTTGGTGCTACAAACTCATCCTCGGTGCCCCCCACCCAAAGGTGGGATTCAAATTTCTGTGGGCATGGCCTAATTTGAGGGTGTGGCTTGCTGGTCATGTGACTGGGTGGGCATGGCCAGGTGATTGGCAAACCAAATACAAGTGGTCCTCACTTAATGGTCGGTTGTTTAGCAAGTGTTCTAATTTATGACTGGCCTCCCCAGAGCTACTTGACCTGTTTTTGGAGTTTTGACAGCTTTAGATCAGGACTCTAAATCCCACCCCTGCCTGTGTGTGTGAGAGAGAGGGAGAGAGAGAGGTTGGATCAGATCTCTCTCTCTCTCTCTCTCTCACCAACGCCAGAAAGCCACTATCAGTCAAAATTCATATTAGTGGTCTCTGGGATTTAAAATTATGAGTTTGGTGGTCCCTGAGGTCCAAAAGTTTGGCAACCCCTGATCTAAAGGAGTGAGCCTGAGAGAGGAAAAGAGAGAGAGAGAGAGAGGAAGAAAAGAAAGAGAAAAGGGAAAGAAAGAAAAAGGGGCAGACAAAGAATGGGGGAATGGAAGGAAGGGATAGAAAGAAAAAGAAATAAAGAAGGAGGGAGGGAGAGAGGGAGGGAGGAGAAAGAAAATGAGATATCTATTCTAGTCCAATCACCTGCTCTAGCAGGGTTAGAAGGGAGTGTGTGTGTGTGTGTGTGTGTGTGTTCTCCTTGTAATTTACCAGTACATTTTGGTTTTGCCTTCAGAATTGGCACTGTAATACATTGGGGAAAAGTAATTTTAGGGTGGAGATCTCGTCCAATGGATCCTGTTTAAAGCCTCAACAAAATGTGAGAGCTTCCTGATAGTCTTGACCATGTTTCGTCCACAAAACGATGGACGAAATAGAATAATAGAAGCCAAAGAGGTTTCAATGTGCTGGCAAAGATATTTCAATATTTCATTGGAGGCACTGGCTCCGGAGCATTACTA